ATAACTACAGATATTCATACGTCATTACTGCCAAAAGTTTTGATATTATGGCGATAGAGAGATGGGAAGAGAAGATAGTCGAGCTTTTATATGTTGAAAGTTCACGTGTTGTCTGTACTGATAAAAAAGCAAATAATGATTACGTAAAATTGTGGAGGAAAACGTTAGATAGGGTCAATTACGTAAGTTTCCTATGCAGACCGACCAGCAATCAATTTGGTGTTGTTGGAATACAAGTTGGCCGCGGGATACCAAGGTATTTCCATCTTTGCGAAGCGGGAATTCCTTTAACAGTATATACGGTAAGTCGTCAGGTGTAAGAACCCTCGTACATTTGTTGTTAACATTGAGAAACATCTTACTTGTAAATAAGAGTTTGCTTATGCAAGCTTTAAAACAAGCTGTATCTCGCTCACCTAGAAATGTACATTCCGTCTACTGTTACTTCCCCGCCAAGTTCGCCATCGAGAACCAAGAGAGGCAGTGATGTAAATCCCGCACCTAAAGCAAAAAAATCGAAAAGAAGAAAAAACGCATTTTCTAGAGTACCCTGTATTTAATGCTATTATTTATCAATAAAGTTAACCCTAGCGATCGATGCATGCTTTTGTATGTACAGATATCAATGTACAGTATATGATGAACATTGTTTACGGCTTTTGTCTATGTTAACTAGAATAATATCTTTTCGGGGCTGCGCTCTCGCGTAATTGTTAATTATTCTGGGATAAAAAAAAATTGTTTGTTATAAGTCTTTGTGTGATTGGAGAAGTAACTGTGGTATGGAATGCCAGCGATGTTTACAAGATGATGTTCGACTTCTCAAGATAACAATAAATAATTGAATTGTTTTAAACGATGCTTATTACGATCTTGTGCACGTCAAGATTGTCAGATTATTTGTACTATTAGAACAAAGTTTTTCCCGTTTTAAAATTACGATATAATAGTATAAAAAATTAAGATAAGATTATTGTAAACCGTATTTTATTACTCGACGATACTGATAATATTAGTTTTGTTTTTCAGAAGGTAGTGTCAGTTTGGTAGACGCTAAATCAGAAAGTTTTTTTACTGTCGTGGATGAGCGTAGCTCTCGTTTAGTTGATCGTTTTTCGTCGCAAGTGGATCAACTGCTATTACACTGGATTGTCTCGCTTGGTGTGGGGATATCCCGGATTTGATTTTAGGGGAGGGTGTGGAAGAGATTTTTTGTCGCTTGGCATGTTGGGTTTTCACATTTGTGCCAACGATAGAGAACCCGTGGCATGCTTGAGGATAAGTTAATTATCGAGGATCAATCATACTCCTCGACGCCGTGAGTCGTAAGTAGGAAAGCCTGTGTTAAATAAAGTCACTAACTGTACATTTGATATTTAGCCCGCGCTCCGTGCAAAAGTAGCTAAACTTCTAGTGACCGCTCTTCCGCAGAATTTACTCATAACCTTATTCCGTGCGTGTGTTACCTCGACAACGCCAATAGAAACCTATTTCTTATTTATTACTCTCTAATTACTGTTTTGGCACTGTTCTGGCACTGTTTTATCACTAGTGACGAACAAGTGACAGATTAACTATTACCGTTACTGAAATGTTTGTGACACTTGAAACAGTGTTATACCCCCGAAATCCGCAGCTGCGCTTGGTGCTACCGCTGATCGATTGTGGCTGCGGCACCATAGAAATAAAGGAGAGAATACGTCATAGATTGCGGCGCATCACACCTTCTTAGCATCTTTGTCTACTCCAATTCCATGCTGATAGCATCCTTGCTCAACTGCCTTTTGATACTGTTCAATTGCCTTCTTAACATCTTTTTCAGCAATAACCAACGTTGTACTGTGCAATCAGCACTTGTCGAGATATCCTCATTCAAATCCTATTACTCAAAACCAATGGCTCATGTTTCATGTGCACAATGTCGCTTTTACATATTTGTCGAATGGCAAACGGTACAGATGTTAGCATAATTTATAAAAAATTAATTAAAGCTTTATAAAGCGCACAGTCCGACACTGGGTTAATATTGGAGCGTAAAGTCTCTGCCAAATGGATTCCACACGTGCCAACGGAATAAATAAGATGACATTTAGAAATTTAAGACTACTATTGTTAGGGGTTTTTTTAATATTATCACTGGTAGAGAGAAATATGTATTAAATTTGTTCACTATTTTCAAATAAAATTTGGATCGGAAAGGATGATTTCTTGATAAAATGGTGTATAAAAGTAGTGAAATAACTAATAACGTGTTAGAATTTATATAAGTTGTCTGTATATGAAAAATAAATTTTATAATCGTTCCATTAAGTATGACAAGCGATACTTTTTTTGGAGCTAGGTTACTAAAAAAGGATACCGCGAAAAGTTTGCTGAATTGCGTGAGATCTCTCCGGGCCCGAGCAAGATATATTTGTGATGGCTCAGCTGAAAGCAATGGATAAGTACCAGCCGACGTTTAAAAAAAATGCGCGTTAATAAAAGAGCATTTCACTACTGAAGAAACGTCAGAAATTATCTAGTGTCGCGCATTCACAGTAACATAAAGAGTGATGAATACTTTTGATCCCCACTGGAATATACTCAATTCCAACACACAAGTATAATAATAATGTCTGTCAGTTTTTAAACGTTGCAACGACATGATAAAGGAATTTATTAAATATAATAATAACTATTACACAAGGTTTTATCATTGGAAAAGCGTTCAGTAATTGGCCTTGGGATTTAGCTCTTTTAATCGGGGCTTGGCTAACGTCTACTCCTGCTTAATCTTACTATATTTAGTATTAATTCACACCTGACTTTGCGCCCCATGGTCACGCATATAAACCCCTCCAAAAATTTTTCGTCTTTGACAACCTCACGCGTATTAGACTCTATGAAAACTTTTTCACCGAAACGAACCAACCACTTGACAAGCTTATTGTGTCTAAGGCTATGGAAAGCACAATGGCATAATTTGTAAAGAATTCCAATATATGCAGTATAATGCTTGGAAACAGACATCAACTTTGTATGTCACCGTGAAGACATTTGATGAACCGAGAAAGATTATTGGGTTGGGTTGGGAGTTCTGAGAATCGGAGTTTACAATCTCCTTGATCAATTGACTCCATCAAGCAGATAGACTGGAAAGAGGGACGAAATCTATTCTATTCTTATTATTAGATATACGTTTACCTTGCAATAGCTACTGAAGGTAATTATCGCCCTTGATTGATTAGTTTTGAAGAATTAGCAATTGTGGCAGCGAATGAAATGAATAGAAACTCACAATGTTCAGTTGAGCCAAATAGTTGTACAACTACACGAAAAACGAAGGTTTTGCATTTTTTCTCCGTAGATAGAGTAGTTGCGTGCCTGACGGTTAGACAGTAACAGGTGAGCTTTATGCTACTAGAATCTCATGTGTAAATAAAAATTAGGAGAAGAATAACCGTCCGAAATGTGATGCTGCATCATGACCATACAGCCTATGCAACCTTTTTTATTTCCAAAACACTTGCAAGAAAGAAAAAAAATAGAGTTGAAAATTGTCTAGGGCCGTTCAGGTAGTTGTTCAAAGTATTCTAAAAGAGGAATGCTATAAATTTTTTGAAAGTTGGCGTAAAAGGTTACAAAGATGCATAGACGTAGAAGAAAATTATTTTCCCATTAGTTTTAAATTTATTATGCAGTATTCAAATAAAGCCGAACGGCAAAAACTCTTTTAAAGAATTGCTATTAATAAGTAACGTCAAAAGTGCCCCCTTTTTCTTTTCAATTTACGCCTTTCTACTTTAAGGTTTTGCAGTAACTGACCCTTTCCCGTTCGAGAGCAAAGCTATCGATATCCAACAACATAAAAAACCTGATGTTTAAAACGACCGGGAAATAAAAGTTTTCTATATCAGTTTTGACTTTTATGCCGTTACTGAATTTTTGCAATATCGATTGCAACGAGGTAAAAGTTACATTGAATCTCAATTCAAATAAGACGATATTACCAAGACATATAAAGAGATTAAAATAAGCAAATCCGTACAAAGTTAGCAATTGTGCTTACGATTTGGTTAATTAAACAGTGGAGTATAACATCTCGTACAGGTAATAATGGACATCACATTGAGTCGGTACATTCATTAATAGGTTCTAAGTAGATAAAGACCGGCGCAAGTACATGAACACAAATGCACACTTCAATGTATTGACTGTCTGTATTATCAAATTGGACACACAAAAGTGCGTTTCAGCGACGAATTTAGTCTGAATGTATTTCATTATAAATAATCCATTCTAAGCACATAGCTTTTCATCAAATTGCAAGTCCGTGAATTATCGCCAGATTTGTGCTTTGATGTCATTGTTCCTTTCTATAGAGAAAAAGTTAAAAGTACTACCTTTTCTTGGTGGATAGGTTTTGCGCAGTATCCACAAACTCCGTCGATTTATTTAAATATAGGTATAATGGATTGTCGGATTGCGTATGTATAAGGACTGGTTTGTTTATTAAAAACAGTCATACATATACTACTATCAGTGTTTGTTGGGACGTAAATGCATTCAATGCAGCAGACCTTTTTTGTCGAAATGATTATGTATTTATAGTAAAATGGTTCAAGGGTCTTTGTTTCACTGAAGTACCGATATGTCACAATAATAACAACAATATCGGCAATGCATAGATTGAAGTACATAATAAGCATGATACTTTATTAGCGACAAAAAAGCAGAACTAGCACTTTTGTTTATAATTCTTTCTAACTTTAGTATAAGAAACTTACTTGCTATATAGTTGACTGTAGTTATAAGTAAACTATCGTCCGAGCATCGGCGTTTTTTGTTTACACAAATAAGGAGTGTTTCACAGACTTGAACAGGGGTCATCATTGAAGCATTTCTATTTTTGATACATCCATTAATAGCATATAGCGCCACAACTCGTGCGACGCATAAATATATAAATAATTTGGTTACGCCCACCCACACTTTTTCACAAAGTCGATTTTGCTGAAAACATGAGAACTATCCGAGTCGATCCTCTCACAAACGGTCAATATGTTTCGGAATATCTAACACAATTTAGAGGATATGTGAGTGATTTTGCGGCAAGACGTTGGTTTTTGTAAGCTTGCACTGGCTAACACAATTTCTCATGATCTAGTTTACAGAATCCGAATTTAAGACTTGCATCGATGCGTTGAATAAACCTTTTAGAGCGTACAAGAAGAAGATGGTAACAGTATGGTCCATAATATTGTTCTCGTTTATTTCTTGTTACATTATTCTCGGCATTTCTACGAGAGCTACGGAAGGCCTGGACTTTTTCCTTTGGTTCTGTTTGATCTTTGCGGGGTGGTTGCTTGTTCCTATTCCTTTAATTTTCTTTAACTTAAAATGGACCAGACAGGTGAATTATTAAGAACTATGTGATTGCAAATATATCGAAATGATGCTAAGTGTTTGACCATTTATTCTTGATCGCAGAGAGAGCATGAAAGAGCTAAAATTATTGATAGTTTCGATGTCTCTGACCGGCCCAGAGGTATTTCATGGATATATACGAAAGAGATATACTCATTCGCTGCTCGTCGACAGGTAGGGATAAAGCTACTCTTGAATTATTATTTCAATACGAGCCTATTAATAATAATGTTATCTTTGCTATTTATTAGTCTAACTTGGTCATCGAACTGCCTGAGGGTTCTACTCGCTACGATTTCAAATGTTAATATTAATTGAGTTACCTCGGTTTTACAAATGTATACAGTAACGCTTATAGTAAATTATGTCTATAAACCTGTGAATAAAATATTATTTAATTTGTAATACAAATTATTGGCCATATTCTATAAGGAAGGGATTTGCATTTATAGGACACAATACAATTTAAATGTTTCAAATTGGAGTACGCAAAACGCCGTTTCTGCGTATACTTATCAATGAAAATGACGTCGCCCCACTGTGCAAATATATATATGAAGGGTATCAAATCCGCTGAAAGGTTCTACAAAGATTCGCATCTGCGCGGGTTAGCAACCTTTTATACTACGTAATATAACAATTCGATGACGTTTTGCGCAGCATAATCTGGGTCAGGGTCAACGGTTACTTTTCGATTCACTGACAAACAATACGTAATTATTTTACAGTGACAATTATTTATAAAATGGCTTTCTTTGGAGACAATTGTTTCCAGGAAGTTCTTATATTACAATACCCAATCATCTAATACTGCAACTTGAAAGACAGCGGTTACTTTTGACATTGTATAATTACCACTTACGCTAGTATTCTTAAGGAAACCCGGATTATCTTCATGGCGTAAGGAGGCGTTGGTTTCAAGATATAATAGATATCTCAGACAATATATTTTGTATTGATTCAATTCATGTTTAGGAAATCATACAATGATAGAATAAAAATAGCCGCTGCAAACATGTCCAGGAATGTAATCGTATGAACTTGCTTTTATAATTAGATAATAAAATGCAACTTCAAACGATTGTATTTACAAACGCACCACACACACACACACACACACGTAATTTAGTATTAAACAACGGTATGACATTTCGGACAAAATGACTACCACATCTTTATTCCACAATACCTGAGATAAGTTTAAAACGGATTCAATCCTAGACTTTTGTCACAAATTGTGCCTATAGTTTAACAGGATGTTAGTTCAAAGTAGATTTAAAAATTCAGTGGTTAAGCTTTCTTATGTCTATTACTATTGTCCATCGCCTAGGAAGGGATATTACCGATTTGCTCTAAAGTTACGTGTTCGTGTCAATTAGTTCTTCACAAGCATTTGCAGGCAGCTTTGGTATATTTTATTGTCGTTAGACTACTGTATCGATCTAAATAATAAACAGTGCTCAAACAAAAGCCTTCCTGTGTTAACCACAGGATGAGTTGACTATAATCTTTAGATGGCCCTTTCTGTTTGCTACTTTTAAACAGAACAGGAAGACGGATTATATTAAAACAACGGATACGGTTGAATCTGATTATGTCGAACCTGACTATACCTAAAACCAAATTTTATAAATAATATATCTTAGTATGATAAGCTTATTATAAATTTATTTTAATCTTTAAATTGTCATGTAAACGCTAATACGGATTGAAGATTCTTTTAAAGGAGGTTGATGAGGTCCAATAAAAGAATTATATACCTTCTCTGTTTCTATTGAGAATCCAATAGGGCATTTACATGACAAATTTGTACAAGCACGTGTCAATAGTGGAGCGGAATTTCGACTCCGATTGACATATACTTTGTGTACCGGAGTACGACTCTTTATTTTACCAAATTACAAATTTGAAAGCGGCATACTCAGGGAGATAATCTGAATGCGTTGTTGAATGTCCAAGTTACGGAAAGAGAAGAGGTCTTATGGATGGGCGATCGTCAAAGCCCGCATGCCAAATGATCTATATTAAAGAGCGGGACCAATTTACCGCCACCCCATGTGAAAATTATGTGAAAGCGCATTAATTACATTCATTACCAAAGATAATTTTTTGCCACAATAAAAACAGTAAAGCATATGCTAAAAATCATTTGTCCGTATGTCACAATTTTGTCGTGTGACTTTTGCTTTTCAAAATAAATGATAAATCGAAATGCACTAAGTTTATGAAGCTGTAAATATAATAGTATTAATACGCTAGCTAATATGTAGTAAGAATCGCTTACGTCTGTAATTGAAGGCATGACTTTACTGAAAAGTCATTCCGATAAAATGTAAGTGGACAACTTTATCTCGCCAAATTAGGTTTGATACAGGTTTTATAGTTTACGTAATATCTACGTACGATTGGTTCACACTGGATGCTCTATAATTAGATCGTTGTACAAAGGCGTATTCATCGTCAAGTGACTATGCATCATCACAATCAATCGATATTTAGAACCTACTATTTACTATTCTCTATTTATAACATTTTTTATCATTATTGTATTACCAACATAACCAGTTCTCGTCCTATTTTTGCTTTTCAATAGTTATTATTAGTGACAGCAATTTGCTACGTTTAAATGTGAGTCATCATCAAGATTTTTTTTACACGTCGGAGTTACAATTGAAAGCATTACTTAGATATCTTATCCTTTTCTCTTCTGATTGACAAGTTAAAAATCTGCATTGACCATAAAAGTTTTATATTATGTAATCTTAGGCTTTTACATAAAATTTTGAGAACGTCTAACTTTATCACAACACTTTCTAAGAATATAGTCCCACCTTCAAAGGCTGGATTAATAAATCGTCTTAATGGAGGAAGTAATTTCAAAATTGGGCATGAGAAAGACTAAAATATATATAGAGAGAAAATTAGTTGTCATGTTTCATCAAAAATATTATGATACAGAGATTGAAATATAAAACTGACAATGTTAACATAACCCTCGTTTTGAAGCATATATTAGTGTGTAGTTAAATATGCTATTATTAAATTTTTCTGTATACAGCTTTTCTAGTTAGGACAAAGCTGCAAAGAATTAATTCTTCTTCCTCCTGGATTGGCAACAGTATGATCAATTGTTGGGCAGGAAAAAAAAATCATAAACTCAATTACCATCAGTTATTCAGATGTAAGGATTTCTTGAGGGGAGATTGGTGGTTGCGTAAATAGTGTAAGTTATTGTTTGATAAAAGTTAATATAAGCCCAGCCCTAACCTTAAAGTAAACAGAATGGCTTCATTAGATTTCTCCTAATACTTACTATACCGCTGCTGATCAGTATTTACAAACCAAGTTAAGTTTAAATATTACAACGCTTTTTTATATTAAGTATAAAATTTAGCCTTTAATCTCGAAAGTGCGTTGCGTTTTTTCCGCGACAGCACAAAACGGCCTTTCATAGCGAAAGGATACATCGAGTTCGCGTCATGGCTCATGCCGGGATTTGTCAGCACTGTTTCGAAAATTTCGTTGTTCAAGTGCTCTTTCCAGCCAGGTTATTGCATTGTGAGTTTGTTTCCAACATATAATGGTTTTAAGTATTACCATATCATATTTAGTTGGTATTACAGTATGTTTTTCAGAAAAAAATGGAATATAATTTTTATATAATTAAATTCTATCTACAGCAAGATAGTCTGAAGAAATATTATAACTGTTATATATGCAGTCAGCTCTTGCACAGGAGGGACCAGTTGTAAGCATGGCTGTGTATTTATAGTAATAGAATGTTTACAAATAATCATACTGATTAATGCCATTTCTTCAACAAAAGCATCAAAGATAAACACTGTTTGTACTATATCCAATCATTTTTTTCTACTACTACTGGTTTGAAGTATAAGCTTTATTTGAATAGTACATCAAATACAAAGGGTGGGATTGTCATGCAATTTTGTTTTAAATCTGAAGGTCAACCCGTTTTTTTTTGTTTTCAATAAAGTCGTCAGTTTATTTATTCTAAACATTGGGCTTCTTGTGTTGGTCAATTTTAACTCGTCCCATACAAAGTGCTAAGTTTTTAACAATGAGTTAAATTTAGATTTTTTTTACTTGCATATACTGAAATTACAGTAAACACAAATGTCTACAAACTATGGATACACATGATGTATAAAGAAAACCCAAAAGAATTTCAAGTGATTATGATTGGTAGCAAGCTTTTAGAATTGCATCTTAGATTATAATAATAATGACTGATATGTATTAGTATGCTGTATATGAACCAAATGCATACAAGAATTGGTATAAACTGAACACATTCTAGTAATTGCAATGTTTTACATGTAATATTTATATTTTCAATTTACAACAAATTTTTCTTTTAGGATGATAATAAGAACACAATAATATATCAGGATACAAAAAATTGTGTTTGAGATGGCTAATCTTTAAACAGCATACAATAATAGCATGGGTTTTTTAGATAAATAGCTATTGCAACAATGTAAACTTCAGTTTAGTAGAAATCAATTTTACAACATTTATTAACAATTCAATTTTAATCACCAAACTTTATGTGTATAACAATAAAACAAACAAAGCTTAAATCAAATTTTTGAAATTAGAAACACCTCCCAATCAACCCATTCAAAGTTGCCTGATGAATTTCTAATCGCCACTTCATATGAATGTTTTTTAGCATAAGGTTTTTTTTTGTTGCACCATCACCAAAATATAAATCAAAACCACCCCCCAAAACCAGGAAAATAAGTTCTAGAATCAACAATAGAATATGTACTCTCTCTAACAAAACTTACTATACACCTATCAATGTTTTTATCTAATGCAAATATAAAGCTTTCTTTAGTTACAGCATAACCTTTCTTGGAACCCCATGCAAATGGATTATATCCACCAAGTATTTCTTCAGTACCCAACACTTTACCAACAGCAATTGTGGGTCCTTTATTATTACACAATTTCCTAAACTTTGCAACTGTATTACCATCTCTACTTTGTCTATAAAGTAAGGTAAAATTATGAATACTTGGCATGATAGTTGTCCTTTGATTCTCTTGAAGTTTCCTTGTTGGCTCAACAATCTTTGATGAGATCCACTCTGCTTGCTTTTGGTTAATGGTAAGTGAATCAATATGTCCTGTTCTTGGTGCTAATATATGAGCGTTTGGTTGATAGTCGTTATCTGTATGATAATTAAGTATATCACAGAATAACTTTCTTGGTAATAAATCATAATATGGAGCAACCTTGTTAAGATAGATACTGAAAAGTCTTATATGAGGTATACAGTCTGCTAGGATATCCTTGACTGTGATAATGTCATTTGATGACCAGTCATTTGGATCATTTCCAAGCTCTAGTTCAGGCACTTGTTTGGTAGCCCATTGAATGGTTGACATCCAAATATCACTTTCATACATATGAAGATCATCACTCTTGAGAAGAGTGATCAAGGTTTCCTTTGGTAAAGTTGCAAGATTATCCGACTTAAAGACAAGATCTGGGTGTGAAACCATAATTCGATTGCAATATTCAAGAAGCCTGTTCAAAGGAGCAGAAGAGAGAGCATACTTGTGAACTGTGATAATATTTTCTTGAATCCATTTCGTTTGTTCATCAATCAAATAAGCTTCGATTGCAGTGAGGAGATCAAGTAGTTCAAACTTGTTAGCTCCATCTAGAAGACTAGTCCAGCTTAGATTCTCGCATAAATCATAGGACACTTGCCCAGTATAAATAAAGCTATGAATTATTAAATTTGCAGTAAGTATGAGTATTAGTGTTGACAGTACAATAAAGCTTACAATATACGCACTTCTCTAATGCTCTAAATTATGAGGTTACCTAAGCAAGATTTCGAAAACATCAGGTGACACATCTTCAAACGTAATGGCATTCTTTCGAATCTCTGTATTTTCCGCAAGATTATTCTCGAAAAAGGCACTTCTTGTGCATAATACCAAAGTATGCACAAGAAATATTTTGTTGTTCGGCTCCTTTCCAACGTGAATTGAAACATCTGCATATTTGCCACTTTTGTAAAGCTTTTCATAGTCGGATGAAAGACCTGAGGATAAATCAACTACGTTATTCATTTCGTACAGCGTAGGAAAAGATGTTTAATGTATTACGGCAAGCCGATCTGATGAATCAGATAAGTGAGTCACATGGTAAAATCGAAATCCCATGATCGATTTAGGGTAGTACGGCGTTGCGTTTTAGGCACCGAGCCGAATTTTGAGTCAGGCGTAGAAAACGTTTCGATTTTTGCGTGTCAGCGCAAACACAATTAGCTAAATTAGAATATGATTGGTTCGTCATAGAAATTACGATTGTTAACTAATTTTAACTCCGTTTCGATTTTTGAGTGTCGCTAAAAGTATATAAGCGACTCTTATCCCATTGTCGAATCCTCATGTTATATGTTATATGTTGTTAATATTAATGTTGTTTATGTTGTTAATGTTGTAAATATTGCTCAGGTTATTAGAACAATAATTCCCACTTCATGGAATAATAAACTTTACTTTCTTTCATTGTTAAAATATTAATTATTTGACCGGACACACTAATAAATGGCTCACTCAAGCTGTAAACGTCTCTAACAAGCTGTAAACGGCTCTAACAAGCTGTATAAGTTGTCCGTTGATCTATTACTCTTAAGAGGGCCAATAATTATTTATTGAAAAAAAAATTGTTTAATTAGTTTGAGACAAGTGACAGAACTCGACTAGTCGAAATACCAAATCGAAGATAGCCCTGTTTAATATTAAATAGAATTTATTCCCCTTCGATTCCGCAATATAATAATTGTTGTTGTTATTTTATTGTGGGTACCCTTATTTGGAATCACGAGTGATTTGAAGCTCGGATAGGGAGTTGAAAAGCGCGCATTTAATTTAATTATATAAATAGGTCACTTGTAGATTAGAATTCAGTCTTAATTGAACATCTACCGTATTAAGGGCGGTGGCACGAAGCTAATCTGGTAACATCCCCCGGTCGGAAGGATACCCCTACGCGAAAGATTAATCGCTCTCCCAAACCCCAAATGCAAACAGTTGACATCTTTGCAGCTTCAGGTAAATATTAGAGTAGTTCTTTAATTTAATATTCTAATAATAACCATAATAATAAGATCGCTGCGATAAATCGCTGGAAATGGAGCAGGTTATATAAGTTCCGGTGTATTAAGACACACCAACTCTCGAAACGTGTCCATTGCTATTGACACTAGGCCTAACGAAGAACGTTAACGGTAGGATAAAAGTCGAATCACGTTTACACATTTTGTACTATCACGTTCACCTCTCTCGTACGCCTAGTGGTTTTGTGTATCAGCCTTCCGTTGAATGTCTCTTCCTATAATCCCCCTTCATTATCGTTAACCTCCGTACTATCTCCTCTCTCTGACCGATTTATATGGTGGTTGCTGTTTTCTCCCTCAAATACTCAAAACTTCTTTTACAACAGCCTTATATTGGCGATAGATTCGATACGAGATGGACTAGAATTCTTTTTTTCTCATTGACACACACACGTAACCTTACCTTTCAACAAGCGTAATGTAAACTGATCAAAGTGAGAGTATTTATTATCTCTCTGGATAATATTTTTCCATCTATTCATATTGCAATTGACAATCTATCGCTATTGCGCGACTTCGTAATTGTCGTATCTACCTTTTTGATTATGTGGATGCTAATTATAATGGTCTATCCGGCATTCCTTCAACGCACATTCCTTATTTCAGTTAATAGCCCTATGTGTATAACAAGTACTGAGGGTAATACGTTGGAACAACGTTTTCTGTTGCACGACAGTAAAATTAAACTCCGAATGTCGTCCTTTCTTTGGATGTTCGTAAATTACTATTTAATTACGTCAGCTTTGGTTTTTGACGGAAAAATAGCTTCTTTTATGCCATAGTTGAATTGCTGGATGTCATTTTATACCCGCATTATAATTCTTTTCGAGGCAATGCATGCAAAGCTTAGCGAATATATTATCAAATATCCTGAACACCAGACTGTGAGGATGAGGTACCGAAAACATCTTCAAGACAACAAATTTGGATCCGAGCAAAGTGATAGCCTCACCGTCGTCGGAACATGCTAGCAGTGTAACTGAAGCTGCTTTTATATTCTGACTAAACCACTCTTGAAAATCAGCGTTATTTCTTATTTCCTCATTAAGATTGAGAATGGCAAGCCAGAATTGAAGATGATAGGGACTATTAAAAAGATTATACTGGGATTGAATAAATATACAACGAGTTTAACTTTGATGGCTATACATTATATTTGCAAATAGTCGTAAACTTTAATGAAATATACCAAATTATTATATAAGGAAGAAACTCTCTATCCGTTGGATAACCTCCCACGAAGTATTTTTGCATTCGAATCATTTTCAGGAGCATTGTAAGCTATGAACTTGTAAATTTGATAAGCGCGGCTTTCGAAGTCCGCGCGAACGCAGCGTGAGGGCGTCCTGGGTTTGAAATACCACAGACTTTTAGTTCGGATGGATCAAGAAGTCACAAAAGCTCAAAGTAGTGGTATAGAAGCTTCGAATTTAGTGCGCCCGCATTAACTAATTTCCAATTTTTATTGATGTTCTGGTGATTAGCGATATATTGCAACGATAAATTTCTTATTAGAGACCGTAAGTTTTCTGCTTTTTACATGCTTAGATTTTGTGAAATTAATGAGAGGAGAATTCTTTTTCTTAACATGTACAATTTTAAAGCAACAACATTCATGTAATTACACATACGGTTTGCACACACGCAATTAAAAAAAGGGCATATATACAAGATGTTAAAAAGTGTGCGACTGTGACTCACACTATGGAAATGATCGGAACTGACGTTGCATGATTTAGATTGTATCTGTAATTACTAATAGTGAATTTGCTATAAAATGTACACTTGCAATAAACTCATAAGAACATTCTTGTTGTACTTAATTTCACTTTGCAAATTTGCCATAAGTTTATAGAGTCAAAATGTTTCAACACAATACATTGCACAGTACATGTATGAATGAATAACTAGTACTAGCTATCTACTAGCTTCAGCAGGTTATTGCAAAAAGAATGAACATAGCTTGGAAATATTGAATAATTAGCCTGTCCAATTCAATTAATACTGATAATGACAACACATATATACTAATTGTTATAATGTTAATACTATTTAATATTGCAATAGCAACCTATCACAATCATATATTATTAAAACTCAATCCTATTATCTGAGTATGAGTTAAAAAATTCACTATTTTTTGTCTCAATTCGATTATTCCTTAGATTTAAACAAGTCAAAGTATTGTTATTTTTCAATAATTGCACAAAAGCTATTGCCCCCAGATTTTTAAGTATGTTATGTTCCAGATTCAAAGAAGTCAGAGAAGTATTTGATGTTAAAGCCTTTGCCAAAGCTGTTGCCCCTTCATCACAAATTTGATTATTACTGAGATTTACTCTAATTAAAGAAGTATTTATTTTTATAACCTCTGCAAAAGCTATCACACCTTCTTTTCTAATATCATTTCCATGAAGATTTAAAGATTTCAAAGTGCAATTTTTCCTTAATGCAGTTGCCAAGTAGTTTAATCCACTACATCCAATGGAGTTACAAGAAAAATCCAGAGAAATCAATGATTGGTTAGATTCCAGAACACTTCCAAAAATGGCTGCATATTCTCCATAGTAATAGCAGGTACCAGTCCTAGCAACTCTATTATTATATATGGCTCCACAGTGTAAATCTGTCAAAGAAGTATTTTTCTTTAAAGTATCTGCCAAAGCTTTTATATCTGCATCCATAATATAGTTTCTTCCAATCTTTAAAGAAGTGAGTGAACAATTTAATTCCAGTGCATTAATCAATGCTGACATTCCTGTGCTTCTATAATAATTGCCATTAATATTCAAAGAATTTAGTGAGTAATTAGATGCTAAACTTTTTGCCAAAGCTGCTACTCCTTCATCTCCAAGGACATTTGATTCCAAGTTTAGAGAAGTCAAAACGGAGTTGATTTCCAAAGCATGTGCTAAGGCTATTGCTCCTTTACTTTCAATGTTATTTGATCCTATGTCTAGAGATATTAGAGAATTATTGGAGACTGTATTTAAAGCCCTTTCAAGAGCCTTTTCCATTCCTCTGAAGGTATTCAATGCTCGATTTAAAAAGACTGGAGACAAATTAGATCTTAGATAGTCAGCCAATGCTATTGCACCCAAATCTCCAATATTATTTTGGCTGAGATTCAAAGAGCACAGAGAATAATTTGATTCTAGAGCCTTTGCTAAAGCACTTGCACCTATACAATCAACTTGAGTGGACTGAAGATTCAAAAATGTCAATGATAAATTTGATTTCAAAGCATCTGCTAAGGCTCCTATACCATTCTTTCCAAATTTGTTGTTTTGGAGTTCCAAAGAAATTAGAGAAGAATTTAATTTTAATGCTTCTGCCAAAGGTGTTATGTTTGTAATTTCATTTGAATCCAAATTCAAATAAGCTAGTGATTTGTTGGATTCCAGACTTTTTGCAAGTGTTGTTACTCCTGCATTTCCAATTTTATTTAATTTCAGGTTTAATGATGTCAGAGTGGCATTCACTTGTAGTACGTTTGCTAGAATTGTTAGATCATTGCCAATTTCATTTGATTCAAGATTTAAAGAAGTCAGAGAAGTATTGTCATGCAAACCTGTTGATAATGCTGACAGTACTAAAGTTCCATTTCTGTTTGAATCTAGACTCAAAGACATTAAAGTAGAATTGGATTTTAGTGCTGTTGCCAAAGCTGTTAAACCAACAACACCAATATTATTCTTTCCCAGATTTAAAGAGATCAAAGAAGAATTGGATTCTAGAGCCTTTGCTAAGGCTGTTACACCTATATCCCCAATGTTATTTTCTTCAATGTTTAAAGAGGTCAAAGAGCAATTAGATTCCAACAAGCAAGCTATAGCTCTTGCATCTGTATTAGTATGTTCAGATAATCATATCAGATTAAAAAAAAAATAAGTACAGTTATATCAAATTCTGAACCAATCTGCAACTGCATACCTGAATCACTAGCTTGGGTGCCGGCCAGATTCAATGTCTTATTTTTCTTAGCTTTCAGTGAACTGTCATATAAATTTAGTTGGACATTTTGCATGTCTGGATGTTCAAACATTAATTTTAATCGATTGTAAACTTCTTCACAAAATGGTCGTTTGTTAGGATCTTCATTCCAGCATGCAGAATATAAGCAAACATATTTTTCAGGTATTCTAGCCTTTTGTGTTATTTGGCAATATAATTGTACTTGATCATAATCTTCTGAAGGAGAATCACCATAGCGTGCAATATGACCACCACTTGGCACGTGTCCAATAGAAATTTCCCATAATAGTACTCCAAGACTAAAAATGTCCGACTTTTTGTCAAATTTATATAGTTTATCCCTGGTGCACACCGGACTAAGATATGCTTCATTTCCTTCATCTTCCAGAGGGAGCATAACCTCTCTTAGCGCACGAGTTAAACCAAAGTTGGTTATCTTTATAACGCCATCTTGGATAAGAACATTACTTGATGACTAAAATACATATACAGACAAAAAAAATAAATTATAATTATTGAGTGTATGAACAATATACAAAATATTGATTCTGTGTACCGACCAAGTGTTGATGGACGATATCAAGTCCGTGTAAATTGTTTAACCCCGCCCGTAATCTCCAAGCCAATCTTATATTTATCTTTCCAAGTCAAACGGTCGAAGTAGTTCTTAAGATATTCACGTAACGTCCCTCCGTCAGCGTATTCATAAACCAAGTGATAATGGCCACCCGACATATCTGTTACATTCAGAGAAGGTCAAAGTAATGAAAAGAGTAAGAATAAACTGACATTTAAATATACCTCGACAAAGCCCCAAGAACCGAATAACGTTTGGATGATCATTCGCTTGTACATGCGCTTTCAGCTGTGTAAATAATATTAGTTTGAGTTTGCTTGGACATACAAATTATCGCATAAGCGGTGGTGATAATGTGCTTAAATAATACGAGTAACAAACCTGTTTGGTAAACTGTTCGTAGGTCTCCTCCTCACCGTTATATTGACTTATAAACAAAGTTTTTAAGACGACCGGTATCTCAAAACGTCTCACTGTCGCTTTATATACTACGCCGTATCCATCACAACGTACTAGGCAACGATCTTTAATCTCGCCATCTGAATAAGGTCTGATGTATTTTTCCTGAATGCTCTTGTCAAGCCATTTCTTGTACCTCTCGTTTGGTGTTTGATTCATACTTGAATTCAATATTTGGTGGGTGTGAGAGAATAGCGAACTCTCATATACTCTCATAATCGTGTGGGAATGTTTTTTAGGGTTGTGAAGGGAAACGCCCAATTTCATAAATTAGGATAAGTTTCACGTTTAATATGCTTTCATTATTATTATAACTCGTGATATTCGAATGTGGGAACTTTCAAGTTATTGATCATTATTAAAGATTCATTTGATGATACAAAAAAAGATGCATGTGTATTTTCTCACACGCAGCATACTAAACAATCTAATAGTCCGGCGATGTTTACAGTAAGCTTATTATTATGTAATAACACGTTGATAGTGTGATACAAAAAGCAATCTGAATGTGGCAATTGACATCATAAATTTGAATGGGGGTGCATTGAAAAGTGTACTCTATGTAAACTTATATTAATACTAAGACGCAGTTACATTCGGGTACTGTTACTGATCACTTCCATACTCTGGTATTAGACATCGCATAATTTTACAGAGCTTCGGAACTCTGATACATTGTGTTGTGTCACTATTTGCAGTCACAAATTTACGTTGTTATTGTTTGTTAATGCCTTATTTGGCAAGAGCGCTCGAAGATCTATCTGTTACTCCCTGACGAAGTGATATAAATTAGAGTTTGAAGAACCATGCCCCCACCGATTATTAACCTTCTATAAAGAACTACTTCGTCCTCTGAATTCCATTATTCGACAAGATTTGCTGATCTTTGCTTAATATTCCTGTCGGACTTCCCATTTAATATACGTTTCGGGAATAAATTCGTGTCGATCTTCGATGCGTTTTTATAGACCATCATGTTTACCATACATAACGTCACCTTACGTAAATACGTACAAACATAACGTCACCTTATGTACGTACATTACGTATGTATAACATACGTTACGTTGTAACATATTCTACTTAAATTCCTTCTCTTCCACCTTTTCTTCCACCTTTCCTTCCACCTTTCCTTTCCTTCCCTTTCCTTCCCTTTCCTTCCCTTTCCTTCCCTTCCTTTCCTTCCCTTCCTCTTCTCTTTTTCTTTTTCGTAAACGACTATTATATTAATGCCCTGTCCTCCCTGCTCATAAACTTTATAACA